GCGAAGCTTAGTCTTTCTAGATTGGCAACAAATCTACTATTCTGCTGTTTCAAATGTAAACAAATATGTCCGCCATGTTATTTAAGACTTAAGGTTTAACCGCACTTAAATAGCTTTTAAATTGTTGATAATTATACAAATATTGCTTGCAGATTTACTAAAGGCATAAAAACCTTAGCCGGAAGATAAGAACAATATAATTCAATCATTTTTAAAGCAAAAAATGCACAATTTACAAACATATAAGAGTAGAGAAACTGAGATCACTGAGCCGGGTAACAGAGTGGTTTCACATGATTTCAAATTAAGTTTAAGAATTGTGTCAGAAACAGGATAAGTAGTTATTTTATATAAATACAATTGTGATACAATACGTCAAATTTTCTTGGGGACTGAGAAAAAAAAAAAAAAAAAAAAAAAAAAAAAAAAAAAACAATTTAGAGAAATCACGCACTCAGTTAGGAAAGGCAAATTTTTATGAAATCCTAATAAAAAGTGAAATTACCTAAAAATCATATAAGCACATTATATTCTTAAAATTAGCAAATATATCGGAAGCTTTACGTTAAATGTTTCACCCTAAGTAACTATAGCCTTGTATAAAATTGCAAACAGAAGAAATTTACGTGGAGTTCAGAGGATTTAGTACAAGTAATATTCTGAAATGCAAATGTAAACATGTAAAGTATTTGCTCTTTAAACTGACGAAAATGTAGAATTATTATTTTTTATCATAATTTTGGTTCTAATGCATAAAAAATTAGATTGTTTGCTTTATTTAATAGTACTTGATTCCTTAAAAGACGCTAAAGAGAGTTAAGCGCTAATTGCATCTCTTACGAAGAGGAGGGAAAGTCCACCGTGCTGTGTCACAGATTTCAGAGGGAATTTGCAAAAAGCCTCATAATTGAACGCTTGTCTTTCTAGTGTGATAATAGAGTATGAGGAAAATTACTTTTGGTAATCATAAAGGAAAGTTACATAAATTTGTTAACGTTATCATCGATAAATTAATCAGCCTTTTATGTGTTGCGTATTCTAACTTTTATTGTAACCACCATATATGGAGAAGTAAACTCTTTTTGAGTTTTAACCTTTTTTTTTAGTCCAAAGGGATTTGAATCCCGAAGGACTATTAGTTTCGTTTTGGCATTTTGCGTCGGACGGATAAATGTCGGTTCACTTTTCAAACTGTTGCCACAAAATGTTAGAGTCTTGCATTATATTTGAAGAAATTAAATAATGAAAAATCTGCATAAATGTATGTATATTTCTCGTATTGTGATAAAACAACGGTACATAGAGTCATCGAATTTTGAATAACGTAATCTTCCAACGAATATGAGCATGTGAAAGACCAAATTTGGAATTTGAAATTTGTTTTATGATCGATTTCCTATTTTTTAAAACTTTGACGAATTTTTGATTAACAAACTCAAGGATTTCAAAGCGAGCAATGGCAACGTTGTGCAGAAAAAAAAACATTTTTATCTCCAGCGTGAGTCTCTGTATCGGAAAATTCTAAAGATATGCTCGTTTTAAAACTATTTTGCGATATTGCTGTTGCACTGGGTCTTATGGTTTAAGTGCGAGGAACATGATATTTAATAAAGAAAGGTAACACACAAAATGTTAAAAAACGCCCCTTTGGACGTAATTTAAAATCTGAAACATTTCAGATTTTTTTTTTTTTTTTTTTTTTTTTTTGTGCGCAAATTGATTTCAATCTAGCAAAACTCGCCAACAGCAAAGAAATAGCTCAGCAGGAAGTACTCTTAGTTAAGCATGCTTGTAATATTACCTCAGTAGTACAACTATAATATGAAGAAAAGGAAAAGAAGAGGACATAGAAAATCTGGAAAATAAAAAGTATCTAACAATTCATTTTATTTTTGTTTTTTAAACTTAAGTGAAAAATAACCGAACAAGATGCCTAACCAAAAGCATAATTTTGTATACATATTGCATTTGTGTAAAACAAGAAAATTAAAAAATGAATGTAATGAAGCCATTGAGCAGCGAAACAGGATTTGAATAAGTAAAAATGCAGTGGTAAACTTCACATTTGCTGGTCATTACCTTGATAAAAAGCGCAAATAACAAGTTTCATTAACCTAATTCAGAAGTCAAACAACAAAAATCAGCGTTACATTTTCAAAATTTTCACAGGACTAGTTTCGATGGTTTTACCAAACCACCATCCTCAGCTACAAAACCGTAAATCTTTCATTAACCTGTTGTAACGCAGGAAAGTTAAGTACTTACATATTAGCCTTAGTACCTTAATAGAAGTAGCCAAATTTTTATAACATGCCAAGCTCTGGCAACTATGTGCAATAACCATTCTTCAGGCAACCATGCTCATAACAACCTTTCAGTCAAGCAAAGTCGTCATTTTGTATGAGTTCTTTTCGTTTTATTCAAAGTTCTAATATCTACCAAACGGTTTTTACAGACCAATTGAGATATTTTTTGCTTAAACCTCAGTTTTAAAATATGCGGAATTTCCCATCAATGTAAGAAACTGCGGTAACATTTTTGCAGGAAAAATGCATTTTATCGCAAAATCTCTAAAAGGAAGCAGATGTCTTGAATCCGTTTTATTAAAGCGATTGCTATGAAACTCCAGAAGAAAAGAAATAAAAACCAGCTTGGAAGTTGACTTATTTATTGATGGTTTAGATAAATTCCCAATTAGAATGCAAAATACATAGGTAATATTATTTGTGTAATAAGTACAGTTTTGCAGTTGAATTGAATGATAACTTACGTCGTTAGTCCCTTTCAAATAAAAAAATCGCCAGATTGCGCCAAAATTGTTACGTTAACAGGTAAGTATCGAAAATTATTTCCAAATGCTGCAAAAATGTTAATTAAATCGGGAAAGAGGGTAGCGATTAAACATGCTAGAAAAAAACAGCCAAAAGAGCTTTTGAATTTCTAAAACAAGACAAGATTGCATTTAGCAAATACTGATGCTATATGTGCAGTTAATGTAAAATTAAATAAAAGCTATAAATAAAATGTTATTAAAATACTGTGTGCAGTGTGAAGAAATTTTTGATTAAAAGAATATAAAAATAAAGTAATAATGATAAAATTATTTGAAAGCTTTCAGATTGTATATTCCATAGAGACCTCTTTTCATTTACACACACATACACCTTCCTAGATCATTTGAAATAACATCCCTTGGGTAAAAATGTTTAAAAGCAGCATATCTTTAGAATTTTCGACAGTCTCGCGCGGTGGAAATAAAAGGTGTTTTTTTTTTTTTAATATATATATATACAGTGTTCCCACTGCTCGCTTTGAAATCGTTGAGTTTGTTAATCAAAAATTCGTTAAAGTTTTACAAAATATGAAGTAGGCAATAAAACAAATTCCAAATTAGGGCTTCCAGGTGCTCATAATCTGATAGAGGCCTACGTTATTCAGAATCTGATGGCTCTAAGTAGAGTTGCTTTTTTACAAAACATACATATATTCATTCAGATTCTTCATTATTTAATTCCTTTAACTATAATACAGGGCTATAATATTTTGTAGCAACAATTAGAAAAGTGATTCAGTCTTTCGTAGTGATTCAACTCAAAATGCTGTTTTGAGACTAATAGCCCGAGTAAGCCCCTTTAAGCTAATAAGTATAACCACAAAGCAAGAATAACAAGTAACGAAGCAAGAATAACCACAAAAAATATGAGAATAGGACATAGCTGAAATTTACAATATACTTTAATTTTCCATTAACCGTTTCCAATTCCTTTTCGAATCCAGTAAAGATTAGTATGTTAATATTTATGTTATTATATTTTTTATTTCACAGAAATCGACTCAGAGAAAAATATAACTATTAAAAATTATTCTCCACAATTTTTTCGGGCCTTTTCCATTTAACAGTATCCACATCAAATCATACATGCACTTCCGCCAGCGAATTCATTTGCATTGCAGACAAATAGCCATTTAGTGCTTTACCATAATCAGATAGACATGTTCATAAACCTAATGTCTAGAATCCAATTACTTTACACTCTGTATTTTGAGGAAATATTTATGTTTTAGTTAACACATTCGTAAAATTTATTATTAATACATTTATTCCTATTTTATTAACTTAAATTTCAAGAATAAAACATAATACACTCTGTTGTAGCTAACAGAGTAAGAGAACTTACTTCTTGAAAGGATAGAAGACTAAAATGAGATTGTGTATTCAAAATTTAACACATAACTTTAAATATGCATCTGGATAAAGCTAATATGATATGTAACGCATATAAACAGAGGCAAAAATATGATAATAATTATAATATAATTCTTATCTAAGAGTATAGAGAAATGCATGAGAAAAGTCAAGGATATTATAGTTATTTAACAAGCTATTATGATAAAGCTTACCAAATCCCAATAACTAATAACTAACGCAAACTAGTAAAATAGCAAATATGAAATTAAACACAAACAAATACCCAAAAATACGTTAGCATATGAGTATACTATTAGTACTATTCGCAGAATCTCCGGTGATTCCTTACAAAACATTAGGACTCTGAAGAATCTGGTGAGAAAAACTGTTTTAAAATATCATTAATTGGCAAGTAATTATTTTGAATTTTTAGTTCCCGTTGTTTTTTTTTATTTTTAAAAATCTTTAAAAGGAAGCTTAAGTACCCCCGGGCTACAATAAAATAAAATAAAAAAAAACACTCATTTCTCTGAAACAAATTATATATCAATTAATAATTGAAATAAATGAGTTGTACAAATTCTGAATAGGAATTAATATTTTCTAGTAAATGATTAAGGGTAAACGTAAAATTTGTAAAAGAATTCTTAAGTAGTTAATCAAAAATTAATTGAACCTAAATTAAATTAAACCCCCAAATATATAGGGTTTTTTTATTTTTAAATTTAGATATTAGGAATCTAGAAAATGTTTAAAAAATAAATAATCATAATTATTTATTTCCACCAAAATAAATAATTTTAATGCTTACTTTTAAAATTAAAATAAGGTTCTTGGTATCCTAAGGTCGAAGCACAATGTCAGCACATGTTCTTCACAACTGTCATTGAATAACCAAGAATATGAAAATCCGGAACGAAGAGGACGAATATTTCACGGTCACTCTTTTTTTCGCCGTCTGCTTCTTTACGTGAAGTTGACAAAAGAAGTCTGTAAAGCTCCCTCTAGCGGATGATAATGGTAATAACGGTCAAAACGTGCGCTGTGTTTATTGTTTCGCGACTATCTTTATTCTTGCTTGAATGATTTCTGCTTCCGTGTCGTTAAGAGTGATAGCCGTCTAGATTTTGCACATCATCTTTTCTGCCCAATTCCACTTAAAAATAAAAAGACTCTTATTGCCTAAGCTTTATGCGATCTGCGTTTCAGTATAGTAAACTAATAATGCGGTATTATTTTTATAGTAAATAATATTTCATGATGATTTTACAGTGCCTGAGATATCAGTACTTTCGAAAAAAGAATTTCGTCAAATTTATCGACAAGTTAAAATAAAATAATGCGTGAAGGTAAAAATGTTTTTGTGTTAATAAGACAGCTACTGATGAAATTAATAAATCAAAATTTTATGACTCAAATATTTTTCAGAAATAAATGTTTCTAAACCGTCACATTGTTTTTGTGCTGAAAAACAATATACTATCATTTGGAAATAGATGGATGATTTTTATCTCATTGATTGATAGTAGTTAACTTTTGTCAATATTATCTAAAATAATATGAGAAAGTATTGTTTAGATGTTAATGAATATGAACTAAAATTTTTCTATATTATTAGTCCAAAGAAGCAATTTGTCCTGAAGGACTATTAATTTCGTTTTGGCATTTTGCATTGAAAATCATAAACGGCGAATCACTTTTCAATTTGTTGCCACCAAATATTATCGTACTGTATTATATTTAAAGAAATTAAATAATGAAGAAGCTTCATGAATGTATGTATGTTTCTCGCATTATGATAAAACAATAGCACTCAGAGCCATCAAAATTTGAATAACGTTATCTTCCATAGAATATAGGTATCTGGAAGCCCTAATTTGAATTTGAAATTTGTTTTATTATCGATTTCATATTTGTAATACTTCAACGAATTTTTGATTAAAAAAACTAAACGATTTCAAAGCGAGCAATGGCAACACACAAAAAAAAAAAAAAAAAAAAAAAAAAAAAATCTCCATCGCGCGTGACTCTGTATCGGAAATTCTAAAGATATGCTCATTTTAAATTATTTTGCGATATTGCTGTTGAACCGAATTTTATGTTTTGAGTACGTAGAACATGAAGTTTAATAAATTAAGGTAACACACAAAACGTTACGAAAACGGTCCTTTGCACATAATTTAATATCTGAAACCTTTCAGATTTTTGTTATTTATTTATATATTATTTCTGTCGTATAACCAATCTTTTCTCATCTTAACAAAGAAATCCGTTGAGAGACCTTTGCTAAGACACTTTTAACGTGTTGACTGTCGCTCGCATTTTACGTGTTGTGCTTGGCGCCAACAAGAGTTTTTTGTTTTACAATGTATATTGTGTTGAAATACTATCTACAGAAGATAAGGTGAGTTAAATAGTCGTGTTTAAAGCATTGTTCGCCGTGGAGGGTCACCAGTGACCCCCGAGGAGCTGTACACTATTTTTGCTATTTATTACTTAAATTTTTGCGATTTATTATTCTTCAAACATTGTAGAAACAATGGTATTATTTAAAAATTTATCAGTATCGATATTTAGTCTAATTATCTATTTTACTATTGATCGCGTCGCCGGTCACCTATGCCCCCCCCGCGGTGCTGTAGCCAAGTCGCCTGCCGGCCACCGATGACCCCCACGTGTTAAAATTAATTGCATTTAATAAAAACATCTTTTCCATTAATTAGAAACTATTTGAAATTACGTATATAAAGAAATATCGCATTTACTCATTCGTGGTATAAGTGGTAGAACATCCAAATGGCAATCGGAAGATGCTGATTCTGTATCTCATGGAAGGCATAGCCAATTTTTGATGTTTCTTGCTCCGAAAGTATAAAACTCTTATCACGTTTAGCGATGGTCTCTGCTAGACGGGACCTTTCTGAGAACGAGATTTTGGCAGCACTGGTTTAAACGGGATGATTCCTAGAAGAAAGAGCCCCAATAGAATCGAAATCCCGCCTAGCCACGGAAACGATGTGCCGGCTACGCGGGATTTTTTGAAAGCTCGCCGAAAATGTTTCGGGTGCAACTCTGTCCCGCATAGAGAACAACCAATCAGACGAAAGTTCTGCTTCGGAAGGATCACGTCATCCAATCTGAGAGATAATCGATTATTGTTTGGCGTTCAAGTCTTTGTAGTAAGTGGAAATCGTAACTTAGCTACGTGGGTTTCCTGGAAATGTGCGGGTTCTGAGAATTGTCCCTTTCGACTACGTAAGGGTTTGATGGCTCTACAAGCACTGGAAGAGCAAATGTAGGAATTTAAAAAGATTCATTTATTAAACACATCCTATTTTTGCACACAGTTTCAGTAATACTGCATGCTTCTTTTGTAATCTCGAGTCCTGGGAACCAAACTCTTAAAACTGCGTATAATAAAAATTTAGAAGTTAGAAAACGAAAAAATTTTAGAAGAACTTCTTGCGTACATTTTGGGGGAAGAAGTACATTTTTTTATATATATATATAATTAATGTATATCCGCATTAGAAAATTGTAACGTTCGCAGCGTCCTCGTTCAAGCTTCAAAGAGCAGAACTATCTGTAACACACGAGCGAATAAACGGAGTGTAATGATCCAAGTTTCATCTCTGAACCAATTTATTTTTGTTGCTTTTAATAGTTTTCTTAGATTATATTAGTAACAATATTTTGTATTTCATAGCAAAATATCTTAATGTTTAATAAATAAACAGACAAAATTAAATATGACTATCTAATTTTTGTCCTGCTTTATTATTTTATTTTCATTACTTTATTTTTCAGTGAATATATTTGATACACAGATATAAGTTCATTTTTTTTATAAGTAACTTATTCTTAACACTAAAGAGCTATTAGTCTCATAAGGTGATTTTGCGTCGAATCGCTATAAACAATCGTTACTTTTCATTCGAGTCTGTTATCATTCAGCAAAATGTAAAATATTTATCATTCAGACTGAGTCTACCAGTTGTGGATTAACAAACTAAGTTATTTGAAAACAGTACATGCAGTTCTTAATATTCATATCTTAGTTTTGAAGCAGATTGATTTAAATAATAAAGATACATTTAAGTCATGAACAGTCTAATTAAAAGTATTCAATATTTTAATATTATAAAGTTTATTTTTTATTATATATTGTATATTTTGTTTTGATTTATAAATTCAAAGATTTGAAAGCGATCAATAGCAACAAAGTACGGAATAAAACATTTTTGTTTCCAGCGGGCGAGACTCTTTATGGGAATTCTAAAGGTATCCTCTTTTTAAATATTTTGTAGTTTTGCAATTGAATTTTATATAACGTAAGTGCGAAGATAACCATGCTTAATAATAAAATTAAAAAAAAAAAAAAGAAGTTAGGTGGAGTGAGTGCATTAGCAGACTGGGCACTGGGACTGGTTTACATCCTTGTAGAAAGTAAAGAAAATATTGCAACCCCGCAAAATTAAGGATATCATAGTTCAACGAAAATATCTATTTTGAATACTGTCAAATGCTTCCGTAATCTGTAAGTACGAACAAAAAAACGGGTTGTAAAATGCATTCAGAAGATTTTCGTTTCATCTGAACCTACTACATACTTATGTATATATCTCGTATAAATCCAAAATGATTAGCCATAGAACGTTAAAATTTCGTATATGGCACACCTATAACGTGTAATTGTGCCCCTTTCTTCTTTGTTGCAATCGGCCTCACCAGATGTGTATGGATATGTATATACGCACTCTCTTACCCGGCTGAGTGAGCTCTGTGTTTTCATCATATATGTTGGTAAATTGTCCATTTTTTGCTTTAAAAGTGATTTGATTATGTTTTTCTTGTGTTGCGGTTAAGCTTTTTATATTAATTAATCTGCATGCAATAGTTGTAGAATTATCAACAATTTAAAATTTTAAGTGGCGCTAGGCTTAATGAGAACTCCATTTATTTACGTTTGAAACTCTTGGTAGAATGGTGAGTTATACCACTTTGTGTCTTTTAGTCCAGGGGGACCAAACGTTGTAGAATCATTAGGTTATTTTGAAGCAGCGGACATGGAAAATGAACAATGCCCTCACAGGGACTCGAATCTGGACCTCTCGAATACTCGCCGAGTGTGCTACCGTTACGCCACGAAGGCATGCAGAAAGGAGGGAGAAAGTACCTTATATACTCCTCCTTTTAAAGGGTAACTGGAAATTAGGAGAGCTAAATACCATCCTGGTTCAAATGTGGACAAATTGACTGCGTAGGTGTTTTAGTGGTTAACTCCGTCTGTAATATAAATACCAGCAACTTTCCCACAGAAAGTTCTCCATAAAGAGATCAGTTCTGTTTAGCGGATATGCAAGAAGTAGTCCTTAGATAACCCTTAATAGTAGGTAGTCCTTATGTGCTTTGCAATAGTCAAAGGAAGCAATAAACCGTTTATCATCGTTTCTTAAATATTGAAATATGATGTTCTTAAATGACAAAATTTTAAAATCTATTAGTCCAGCTATTGTTTACAAAATACAATGGAAATAAATGATGGAAATCCAACAAGAGTTAAAAACCTGATAAGGGTTTTTTGGAACTGAACCAGGATTTTGCTAACAGGAAAAAAAATTCAGAAATTGAATTTGTGGGAAATCCAGTCTCCTTTGTATACAACAGGGGAAAAAAGGCAATAAGGGTATTGCAAATATTTCTGTTGTTGTGTACAGCGGTAAGATGAAACGTTATAAAACTTTCTGAAAGGGCAAAGTAGAGAAACCTCTCTAAATGCATTCAACTTTTAAGTATTTGAATTACAGAATAATAGAAGGATGATACAAAGCGAATACAATCAAAGGCACAAATAACGTTACAGCAGCAAGAAGCCCTTTCTCTTTGTTTGTTTGTTTATTTGTTTAGAAGATTGGAAAATGTAGAATAGAGAAAAAGGTCAACAAGGAAATGCTTCCGATAA